AGACACCACTTCTGCTTGGCTCCTGTGGGACTAACTTTTTCCTCAGTGGCTGTTGCTAGGCTAGGTTCTGTCAGTAAAAAGACAAAGGAATGAAGCCCTTTCCAGGCCTTTGTGGGGAACTCATTGGGGCCAGTCCTGACTAGGGTTGCCATCTCCAGGTTTGAAAATTCCTGGAGATTTGAGGGATGGAGCCTGGAAAGGGTGAGGTTTGAGGAGGGGTGGGACCTCAGATCTCAGAATCAATGCCATAGACTCCACCCTCCAAACCAGTCATTTCCTCCTGGGAAACCATTGTTGCCAATCTCCAGGTGAGGGATGGAGATCACTCAGAATTACAACTGCTTTCCAGGAGGGGGGGGGAGGAGATGGAAAGCTGAAATCAGAGGGGCAGATAACGACAGGTTGATGGTTGGCTGGGAAGGAGATAGAGTTGCCAACTCCAGGTTGGGAAATTCCTGGATATTGGAGCCTGGAGAAGGTGAGTTTTGAGGAGGGGTGGGACCTCAGACAGGTACAATGCCATAGACTCCACCCTCCAAACCAGCCATTTCCTCCTGGGGAACCACTGCTGCCAATCTCCAGGGGAGGGCTAGAGATCACTCAGAATTACAACTGCTCCTCAGGTAGCAGAGATCAGCTACTCTGGAGAAAATGGTGGACTCTGTGTCATTATACCCTGCTGAGGTTGCCACAGCAAATTGACGCTGAGTAACCAAGGTCTGGGCATTCTCCCAGAGCCTCTTTCTAGAACTCGTATTTATTTCCACAACAGGCCTTATTCCTAGTGATTATATAAAACAAGAATATTGGTGGCTGTAATTTCAGGTGGTCTGGTCCAATATCTTCCTTCTAAAATTTGTCATGGGTCTATAGCATTGCATCGTTATACTGATGTAATAGCTACTGGAATTAGCCTTACCACTGTAGTGTTCATACTTCCTCCTTCTCCATTCTTGCTCAACAGTATCCAAACATTTCAAAACTCCTTAAGATTCCTAATTACTTGAATTGATTCAAACTGGAGAAAGAAAAACTGAACTATTACTTAACAATGATAAAGCCGAGGTCTTGTAAGCTCAGTGTTCTAGTCAGAGTTAAATACACTCCTGGTGATTTATAGAATTACATAAGGCTTTCAGTTAACACTGATTTTTTTACTATGGGATGAAAGGAGTTGTTTTTTGATTTGTTTGCTGGCCTACTTGTTTACCAAAGGCTTGTGTCCTATTTCTCATATATTGCATATCAGTCTCCTTCTGTGTAGCAATAAACACAAAAGTAATGTTTCTGTGAAGACAGAAGAATAAAGAAACAGGTTGTGCTTTCCCACCACTATCCACACATTATAATTTATTTCTCTCTGTTTTGCTTCTTGCAGACCAATTACACTTATTAGTATGTGGCCTGAACAATATGAGTAAGTACATGCAGTGCTTGTCCCTGGAAAGCTGCTGGGTACAGTCTTCCAAGAATTTATCTTGCATATTCTATTGAAATTAGTTCATGCTCCTGTACATGCATAACTGTGATTCTCTGCATTTCTTGATCATTCCAATGAGAGATGAACTGTAGAAATTACCAAACAAATGGTTTTCTTACTGTTGGGTTATTGCTATTATATTTACATGAACTCCTCAGAAACATCAACTTCTTTTTTAATATCTTGAACTGTTCCTTTTTCCTATAAATGAGATGTTGGTCAACTGTTATTGATTTTTTTTTTCAGTTTCTCCCCCCTTTTTATTTTCTTTGGTAGCCCTTCCCAGTCCCCCCAGCTGTTTCATGATGACACCCACACCAGGATTGAGCAATATGCCAACAGGTAAGAAGGGGCATGGGGAGGGATAAAGGCTAGGTTTTAATTGCACAAAAATTGAGTTTACAAAATTAAATATTTTTTAAAAATATTTCCTTGGTTGTACAAAGATAAATGCATTCACAACTTCTTATATGAGATTCTCTAATGTCAATATATTAAAATGTTTCCAGTTAAAGTGATACAAATGTAGCATTATAATTGTCATTGATTTAAAACAAAAGAGTAAATACTGTAGACTGGATATATAATGTCCCTCCAAAGTAAACTTTCTTTTTCATCTGACCGTCTTCTGTTTCTGTGTCAGATTTCCCTAAATGATATATCCTATCTCCAAAGGTATTAGTGATGTCCATGGGACATATTTCCACATCATCATCCTAGTTCAATTACTTGTCCATGTGGGAGCATACACAGCACAAGGGAGTTAGCTTAGTTATGCTTGTGGTCCTATCAGTTTAAGTAGCTGTACCATTAATTGAAACAACTGGGGATATGTGCTTGTGTGAAGGTTTTAGCAGATGAGGCTGAAGTTGGATCTTGATGAAATAGCACTAAGAACTAGAAGAATAATCTGTTAGTAAAGTTATGTAGAAAGGATGGCATGATGCAGAGAAAATTACTACAGCTTAAAAAAGATAAACATGAAAACATAGGCAGTTAAAAATTCATGTTACTTGGTTTTAAATTAGTGCCACTGTTTGAAGCAAGAAGTGTCTAATGTGAAGTAGACTCAAATGGAATGAAGGCTGGTCTTGTTTCTTTTTGTCTAAGGTCCCATTTCTCTTCTAGGTTAGCCCAGATGGAACGGACCAATGGCTCCTTTCTTACAGATGGAAGTTCTACCACAGGAAGCGTGTAAGTAGATGCTGATCAGTTCATCAGTAGGAGAGAATTCCAACAAGTAGGTAATAGTTAGAACTTCCTAATGGTCTACATTAAGCAAGGCATTCCAGCCAGGGCTCAGGAAGACCAGTTGCTAGGCCCACCCTGATGCATTACAAGAACTTCGGCCTGGGAAAGAACTGATGAGATGTTTCCTCCCTGAGAACTTTTATTATTAAGGGCCAGACAAGTTGTACAGAGATACTTTTTAAAGAATATCTCTTTTAAATTGTACCGTGTGGAATTTGGGGAGGGTAGGAGTAAGCTGCTTTGAGTTCTGCACTGGGGAAGTCCCCTAATAAACATTTAAATAAATAAAAATAATGCCCTATACCATAATATTCTGAACTGATAATATATACTAGTGATATAAAATTAGTGGTGGTTACATAGCTGAAGATGTGATTTGGTAAAGAAGAGAGTATTGCAAAACAGCATTTGTTGCTCACAAAACGTGGTCAAAAGGAAGGTTTCTGCTAGTAGGTTTCTCTCTTAGCTTTTGGGGGTGGGTGGATGTTAAAAGTGTTACCATGTTGTATTACTTAAAGCAAGATCCATTTTAATGTTGCCTTCTATATTATGTCACAAATTGGGCACCAGCATGGGGCAAGCATAGAACAGTATTTTGATCTGAGAAAATAATAAACAGGAGAGTCATATTAAATTGTTTACTTTACAGGCATAAAAATGCATACCTTTGCCACTGTGGTATAATTTCTGGTTTTCAGAACTGGATGCAGCTAGGAAATAAGCACTTGCATGTATTTTCTCTTGGTAGCAATATATAATGCAAATAAGAGTAGGAAGAGTAAGAGGGAGATTTTATAAAAGGAAAAATTCTGCCTCTCCTGATAGTTAACCTCTTTTCAGAAATACAGCCCTACTTTGCAGATGTATGAATACCTGGAGTTCACGGAGGAAAGCACTACCCGTTTTAGGGAAGTGCAATATCCTGTTAGGGTTGCCAGTATCCTTTAGGTGGGTAGCCGTGTTGGTCTGAAGTAACAGAACAAAGTTTGAGTTCAGTTGCACCTTTAAGACCAGCAAAGTTTAATTCTGGGTATAAGCTTTTGTGTTTATGCACATTTCATCAGATAATATAGTATATAATACAGAAGATAGTATCTGATGAAGTGTGCATGCGCATGAAAGCTTATACCCAGAATTAAACTTTGCTGGTCTTAAAGGTACCATTGGATTCAAACTTAGTTCAGTATCCTTTGGAACATCTAGCCACATTAGCAGCAAGGCTGCTTCTAAAGGATACTGAACTAAGTTTTAGCTGATTATATAAGTTAAGGGACACGGGTTGAAGGGAGAGGGGAACAGTTTTGAATTTGTGCTTTCAGTTTTTGAGATTGCTATTTTTTTCTGTTAATAATGTGTTGAAGTACGTTACTAGAGGCTTGAGTATATAGCAGCTAATTTTGATATGTTCGTATCCTGCCCTTCCCTAAAGGAAGACAGGATTGGATACATGAGGATGCTGGGAGGTGGAGCCAAGAGATGAAGGCAGGCTCATGCTCAGTTAGTGACCTTCACCACAGAGGTCTGGACAAAGAAGACATACTGTATTAATTGCTCAGCACTGCCTCTCAGTTTAACAGGAAGCCAGCTCTATTTCTGCATAAGCTTGTAGTTAGTATATAGTTAGTATGAAAGGTAAACTCACCCCTGAAGAAACTTTTCAAAAGTTTGCTGTTTATTTTAAAAGCATAAATATGCTGCATGCTTTATTTTTCATCATGCATGGAATCCTTTTGTTAGATTAAACTGGATATGAAAATCAGTTTTCCTGTATTTAACTAATACATTTGAAGCATGAGATTAAAATTTTCTGCACACTAACCATTGAGCTTCTAGCCTACTCTGTTTGAAGTTAAATTATTATTTCCCATGACTTTTTCTATGAACTGTTATTCCAGAACTTCACTTACTGCACATAGTATACAATTATGAACAGTTACACAACCAATAATAAAAAAACCCATGTCGCTTCTCAGAAATCTCCGTGACATTTCCCCTTTTGGATGCATCTTTGGAGCAGGTGCAGTCAGGGATAGTTTCTGTTCAGGCTGCATTTACAATATCTTTCCTATGAGTCTGTATTAGGCAACTCAGGAAATGAATGTCACTGGTTTCCAATGGTCACCTTCTACACTGGAAGATTTTGATTGTTGCCTAAAATAGAACCACAATATTTGGAAAGTGATATTTGCGTGGATCACACAAACTTAAATATATAGCTGGCTTTTGTATGGACTCCTAATAGATCTATCTTGAATTGTTGGCATGTGAGTTCTGATTGCCAGAACAAAGTATTCTCTTTCAAACCAATTACCTGACAAAGCAAATGGGGGGGGGGGAGGAAACAAACCCGAATCTTTTCTATAAATTTATTCCTTCCTTTGTCAGGTGTTCTTTCACTGAAGAACTGTTTTCAGAGTATGCTGCTTATAATAGACAAATCAATAAACCCACATTTTGTCATCTGTATAACTTCTGAAACAGTGGAGCATAGGGCTGCTCCGGACTTTGACTTATTGTGATGTGTAGTAGTGTGGCTTACTTAGCTCAGTCTTCTGCCTGTCACTGATGCTGATGAAGCATCAGTAATGAAGAGCTTGACCTAAATTTATGTTTGAAACTTTGTTCTTTAGAAATAGCTCTGAAGTCTTGGAAGATGTGTCTGTATGTGTGCATGAGCACACATGTTAAAAAGCCAGGTTCCAGCTTTATAAACAAACTCTATAAAATAGGCTTTGATAGCCACCTTAACATTTATATTTGAAACAAACTCAAAAGTAAAGACGATTGATTTCTATTAATGGATAACCTTGAAGTTCAGTCCTGCGTACCTGCCTGAAATTTCTCCTCAGCATATTTATGCTGTACTCCTTAAAATAATGCTGTTTTGGTCATGACTGGATGCTCAAAAGCAATAGTTGTAGTCTATAATTTAAAGAGATTGTTTCAGATTATCTTTATTTTTAGCAGAGATGATGACTGTAATCAGATCCTTCAATGTAGTTTAAATTATTTTACTACACTTCTTGTTCACTCAGCAGCTGAGTGTTATCTCCATGTATTTAAATGTTTCAGAGCAGTAATTCTTATTCTTCATAATTTTTAAGTACCATAAAAAGTCCTAAAACTAAATGAAAGCTTTCAGCTGATAACAATGTGGTGGCAAAATTAGTTATACTTGTGAGAATAATGTTGTAAGTTAACTGAAGGAGGATAACAGGAAAGCTGCATGTTCTGGACTAATTTAGAAACCACTAAATTAAAAAGAGGTGACACTGAATCTAGCTCATATTTTAATAAAATGTTATGTTATGAATCTTTTGTTAGGAACATTTGCAGACTTAGTCAAAAGGAAGAGACTGACATAGGTATATGGATTAACTAGGGCAGCTTTATTTAATGTGAATAATAAAATTATAACTGTAACTGGCAAGGACCACCAAAAACTGACAGAGGATCCCTTGATCCCTCTCCAGACTCAACAAGGATGAATCACTGTAGCCCCGGCGCAGGCCAACCATAACACGGCCTTTGCCGGCGGCATTCATGTCAGCAACCTGCCTTGAACCCATCTTCAACCGCAGAGCATGAAGGTAGGTCCAAGTCAAAGTGCCTAACAGGCCATCCACAGTCATCCCAAGGGCCATCCCAAGGCATGGTTTGTGTGTGGTGCGCCAAACCCCCTGCAAAGGGAGGGGTCTGTCGCATGGTGTTCCCCTGAACAGAACAAAACCAGGCCTGATTTCCTCCACAAAAAAGGGTCAAGCCTTTGCTTTGGCCCTTGACCCCACACATCGGCCGACAATCTGCCGCAGCCCTTGCTTCAAATCCTCTAAGAAGATTCTGTTTCCCAAATCAGATAGATGGACACCAACTTTCCGATAAAGATGGGAACATTCCTTGACTATGCCCGGATGGGTGATGACAAAACCCCGGCTCTGCAGCATGGCATTCGCAAGCTTGCGGTTCGCCTTTTTTTTGCGCCCGTTCAATTGCGTGGGGATCACATGCCCACTTCCAAACCCATCTTGGCAAGATAGCCGACCATACCAGCCGGATGGATGGCCACCTGTTTACACTTTCCTGCATATCATCCTGCGCCTGCAGAATGAGAGCTTTTCCCTTAACCATCCCCAAATCATTACCCCCAAGATGAATCACAACAATATTGGGAGGTGGACCCTCCCGCTCACAAAACAGGAGCAGCATAAGCCCGGTCCAACGTAGGTCCCATCATCCCAGCCACTCCACTATGGCACAATCGCTGAGGCCCAGCTGAGCCCAACAACCGGATCTCAGTGCATAGTGGGCGGCCCAAAAAAGCCATACTGTGCCCCACCACGAGCACCTGAAGCCTCAGCTCTGGATCTAAGGAACCTAGAACAACAATAACCGAAAACGTGAAACAGGGACTTCCCTTAGGGGGCCAACAAAGGCCGAACGTAACCCTTATAAGCTATTATTATATATATCTATTTATTAGTTTTTTATATTAAGTACATATACATATATCATACATTTTCTATATTTTGAGTCCTTTATACATTATTTTTAATCCATAGTTTAACTTTTGATCATCTTTGAGCAACTACTTTCTCTTTAGTCCCACATACTTGTGCTTGTAACCAGTCCATTTCTACTACTTCTAACAATTTACATGCTATTTCTCCTCGGGAGGGTACTTTATCAGTCTTCCAATGCCTTGAAAGCGTCCCATACTATTCTAATTGGCATATCTTGTTGAATATTTCTTTTTAAAAATTCAGATGTCTCTTTCTTGATTTTTCCTACAAAGTCTTGATCTCTAAATAAACCTATATTAATCCTACATCTACTTCTCTTATTTTTCTCTTCAAAAGATACTATTATTGGATTAAGGTCTGCGAAAGTGTTTGGTAATATTTCAATATCTATTAACTCATTAAGCATTCCTAATGTTGCCCAAA